CACACACACACACACACACACACACACACACACACACACACACACACCACATTACAAACTGTTCGCTGCAAAAAGTGACTGCAGCATTTCCTCAGTTCTACAAAATGCAGCTAGCACAGGTAGTATAATTGCCATATTCTCATGGCCATCAGCTCAATCTTTACACTGTACTTTAGTCCTTTTTCAGGACTTGTCTCTGAAAACTGAAAATGTTAAAAGGACTAAAAGTCAAGTAACAAACTCAGCTTGTTATGTTTAAGGAATGTTTCGACATTTTGAGGAATCCACATTTTTTGTTGAGCATTAGATTAGAAGATTCATACAATCTGTCGGCCTATTCTAAATATGAGGCTCCAGCCAGTAACCCATTAGCTTAGCTCAACACGAAGGGTGGAAAGAAAGGGAAACAGCCAGCATCATCGCTCAGCAAACGTGTTTTTTTCACACTTTTTTGCACAGATTAAACAGATATTATGTGTTTCTTTGTGAGGTGCTAGTAGGCAGATTTTGTATAATTTGCACAAAACCCGGATAGTTGTTTCCGTCTTTATGCTAAGCTAAGCTAACCTGCTGTTGTAGATTTACAGTTACACAGTGGGATGAATATTCTCATCTAACGCTCTAACAAAGCGTATTTCCCAAACTGTCAAACTTCTCCTTTAAGACCTTGTGATTTTTCCATTACAAACAGTGTCCACTCTGAGAGCAAAGGTCTAATAATACCATGAATCTAGTTCACAGTTGAATGTGAGGATATGACACAATAGCCTGACTCGCCTCATTAGCCAAGATGTGATATAAGCAAAATGAAACTATAATCCAAACCTTGTGGGCATAAAAGTTATTACAAGCTGGCACACTGTTTCAGGAGCCCCTCTTAATACGAGCACATTAATCTGACAATGTTATGATGTGATGGTGTAAAGCCAGTGCTCTGAAACAAATTGCTTCACGATGCCTGGTTTGTTGAGTTTGTTGCCCAGAATTCTCAGATGACAAACTGAAATTTGTGGCAATTCCAAGTATACCATAGAACGCATAGAAAATGAGAAATAAAAAAAAAAAAATGCAAATTAATGTAACAAAATAATCATACATGCTGTAAAACATCCCGCAAGCTCCCTGGATTCAGTTTGTGGTGACTGCACACAAATGTTAGTGGTGTTGCATGTTTTTGAGACCAACATCCTGCAGAAAAAAAAAAAAACATCGCTACAGAACAATAAAACGCTTACACAACAGTAGCAGGGTCCATCTCTCCAGTCACTTCTAGGCCATAGAAGCGCTGCATGTCGCTGACGGCTTTGGACAGAATCTGAGCCGACTGCATGGTGGACATCTGACCGCTCGCCTGAGACAGGTAGCCGAACTTACGAAGCCATGCCTGTGAGGACAAAGCGAGGACTCAGTTTTGCATAGTCTAGCATGGGAAAAGTTGCTTAACACATGCGTCTTGTTTTTGTGTGTGCGTTGCATGGTGTATTAATACGTATGACAGCTACAACTGTTGTGCTAATCCACTGTCTAATGACTGGAGAGAGCATCTGAGGAGTTAAAAGAAAAGAGAGAGAGAAGAGATAGAAACCAGATGGCTTCCATTAACATTACGACATTCCTGCTCTCTCATTCCTCTCGCCTACTCCTTACTGACAGCCAAGATGAGGAGAGGAGACTAGAGGAAGAACTGGAAACAGGAGAACTAACAGAACAATAATTGAACTGTATGTCACTAATGTAGCACACAAGGTAAACACAAAACTCTGCATGTTTGTCCTTCAAATGATGGTAAAAGGCTGAAAGTCTAATGACACATGTTGGATTTCCCCTCTTTGTTTCGTGTTTGCTGCCAGTGAGGTTGAGCGTGCAGAGCCACGTAGCCAGGGAAACAGGATGATGGCTCCGGGGGGGAGAAACCTCGGTGAAGTTTTGAGTTTTGCCCTTTAAGAAGCCTCAAGAGCAGAGCTCAAAAACAACACTGCAGGCCCTCTCACACAGCTGGATCATGGGACTCACACGTTCATGCATGTACGGGATGAACACAGGCCCGGAGAAAAACACACACACGCAACACTCAAACCCATCATGCGCGCACACACGACAGAGAAAATCCTTCAGAGACCATTTCTGCATAGCATGACAAGTCTCAACCAATGTAACATTAGAGTGGGCTTGTTCACATGCGGAAACATGAAAGAAGAGCAGCAAAGCCTCTTTAGGAAATAGCTAAAAATCAATGTTGTGATATTCTGACATCTCCATATCTATCCCAATATGGCAAATATAGTAAAATGACATGAATGAAATTGGTGATCACTAAAACAAAGTGTGTTCCACCATCATGTATTGAAACTGAATAAGATCTTCACATGTCAATAATAAAAAAAGACTTATTTTTTTATTTTCACAATTTGCTCAGAATAATGGTAACTCCCCTATTAAGCATTTATCATCAGGGTATAGACACTTAATAACATACTATAATGTAATTGTATGTATATATATGGACTTTTAAAAAATGTTTATTAATGCAACAATCAAAACTTCCATCCATCTGTAACTGGTCTATAACCAGTCTGAATGGTTGATCGCACCATATTTAATCAAATTCTATGATATTCAAATGAAGCGATCCTTACCGTGTGTTATAAAGCATTAATTAACTCTTTATACACATGTACATATATTCACAGGCCGGCTTAAACCTGTCTCATGAAGACATCCCGAACTCACAAGAGTGAAGACCAAGAATTCATATTGATATAAACTATTAAGACATATTTTATATTCACCCATATTACATTATATTGTTGATCATTAAGTATCTGTTTATACAACAGTTATGTAAACTTCATACAAAAAGTGGCAATTTGTGAATACATTACCAAACTAAAAATTTAAATGTCCTTATTTCTGCTTAAAACTAAGTTTCAGTGTGTTAAAAACAATTTATGCTGTTAAAACTCTGCTAATGAATTCTGCTCGCAAACATGTGTAAGCGTGAATTTCGTTAAATGTGACAAAAGTCAATCAACAATAATACTGAATTATTTATCAACCCTACAGCTGAGTTTTAACTTATACTACAATCACACTCTTATTACTAATTAGATAGATAGATAGACAGATAGATAGATAATGTTGCTCTCTTTTCATGTGTGTACCACATGTAGCTACTCTGTTATTTGGAAAAGGTCAAAAGGTCAAAGGACACCCCTGCAGTGCAACAGCCCACCTGATGTTTTGAGGTTTTACCAAAACAAACATGAAGATTTGCACGCATAACCCATGGAAATCTATATTTCTGTACTACATTGCATACAGAAGTTCCTCTATAGGAAAAATTATGACATTTGTAAATTCATAAACTATTGACAAATACCAAAAAAGGGAATATTTTGACCATCTACATGGAAAATGTGGTCTGTACCGTGACCCACAGACAGCACTGTACCTCAGCACTGAAGCCTTCTTCCTCCGGGACATCCGCCGCTGTGCTGCACAGGGTCAGGGAGAACAAGGACGACAGTGCGATGATCTGAGTCCAGGCTTGTTTGGATGCCATCTTCTTCATGATGTGCTGACTGTTGTTGTTGTTGTTGTTGTTGTTGAGGAGTGATGACAGAAAACAGCCAAACAACTTCCTCCAATTGGCAGGAATACAGGACAAAGTGCTGCGGGACTTCTTCTCTTCTGCTCCTCTCACATTTAATCACGAACCTCCGCAACAAGTGGGCTATCTGCTCGTTTCTGGGGTTCGCTCAACAGTAAAAAAAAATATGTTACGCAAAGAAAGGTGCATTTACAAACCCTCAGGAAAAAACAAAACATGGATCAAGATGATACTAATCCGTTCCCGGTTGCGGGCAGTCCGGTTTGTCCTGGGCCAGCAGCCTCATGGCTCATCCTAGTGTTCATGCAGCAGATCCTCTCGTGCAAACAGCTCAAACTGTAGCCGGCGGGCACATAAACTAGACCTTGCCCCTTTCCGACGTCCACAATGGCTGATCGGCAGCGGGAGCACAACGAAGAAGTCTCCTGACACTTTGTGCAAACACGGACTCCGCAGTTAGCAAACGAAAAGTGACTATTAAGTGAAGCGGTTTCTGAACTTGCTTCGCAAATGTTGCGCACGACAAAAGAAAAAAAAAAAAAAAGAAAAAATCGGAACTCAGTGCCAGCGATCAAATTTCACCTCCACTGTTTGGCACCAACCAACGTCCTCGACTTTTATCTCGGAGCGGAAACGCGTTGTGTAAATATCAGTGAGACCGCCATCTGTGTGGTAGTCTATCTGATAAAAGATCTGTAGCGGTCTCAAGTGAAGAGAGGGCCCTCCTCCTCCTCCTCCTCCGTCCTTACGCACCAGACCCACATCACACGGTCACTGGGACATCTGCTGTTGTTACAGGAAACTACAGGCTGGTGCACACGAGACGAACACGGAATAATTAAGCAAGTTTGTTTTTAATGTGTGGAGGCACTGTACTTGATTCAATGTATATGATATGCATGCTAAATAAACTATGGCATCATTAAGTTTGTGTTACAGTTGGCATTGTAGTTACCTCAAAGTCAAATGTTTCAGTCAACTCGTTTAAAAACGAGACGTGTGTCATACTGACTTGTCAGATCAGATGATGCTCAGTTTAATTAAGTCAGCTCAGGACAGTGAGGCAGAATGCACAACACTAGGCTACCAGAGGTCCACATCCTGTTTGGAGTGCTGTGTAATGAATTTGGGATGCTTTTTTGCCTTTACTAATATTTGGGGGGCGGTATATTGATTTGGGGTCCATTATTACCTCATATTTAAGGTCATGTGTATTCTTGCATTTATTGTATGTATATTTGTGGGGAGAAAAGTCGTTCTGCTGTCATGAAATATTCTGCAGGATTTAAAGGTTTTAAACAGTTTTGTAAAATCATTTTCAGATTTTAATGCAATATTTAATTTTATTTAATTTATCTGTTTTTATGGCTTTTTTATTTTGAGAGCACACGAGGACCACCATCAACTAAAATAACCCTTTTACTACAATTTACACAGGTTTCTTCTCTCTGTACGAGTGCAGCAACAATCACCAGAAACTCATTTATTATCCTGGCTGTCATCCAGGGAGAGGAAGTGGAGATGGTGGACTCATTTAAGTACCTTGGGTTCCAAATCAATACATAAGTGGACTGCACTTACAACACTGAAGCCCTCTTCTTGAAAGGACAGAGCAGACTTGTTCCTGCGGAGACTCAGATCTTCCAGTGCAACAGGCTGCTCTCCTCAGGACACTAACACTACTGTTCTTCTCCATCGTCTCTGTTGGAGTGAGTTATGCATTCTACAATTCTTTATTCAATATTGCTGTACTATTCTCTTTATGGTTATACTGTACTATCTTATATTACAATACATATTAATATTGAATATCCATATTAATAGAGTGTCAGTCTGATGTAAATGGAGAGAGTGGACTGATTGACGGCTCCATTTGTACTGGTACCGCGGACCATCGTCATGACGTTTTAATGACGCACGTACGTGTGCGTGAGAGAGATTTGTAAATTAAAACCACAATTCAGTTCTCAGGAATTTGTCACTTTCATTATTGTTTGACGGTGTTAAATTTACACAAAGTGTAAAGCTATTTTTTAGAGCCGCAGAAACTGACTCTTAAACTACGATCTTTGAATCCGTTTACATCCACTTACAACCCAAAATAAATCGAATCAAGTTAACATTGGAGCTTACTGAAGACACTTCATTTAAGAAATCTTAAGTGATATTGTTACTTCTGACATAACTTGAATTTTTCTGTTGAAAGTTAAAGGTCACCTTGTCTCAACACCGAAACTTTAGTCACAATTTAAAACTTAGATTATTAACTCTGCTATGACGCATGTTTAAGTTTTGATTTATCAGGACAGGAATAATAAAAAGATATGAATGCTTTTAAAAGTTTTATTCACGCTGCCAACAGCAGCAACATTGTAGTCAGTGCTCCCCAGTTGGTTTGAGCCTCCTGCTGCCTGCCTTGACCACAGTGATGAGGATGATGAGGAAGAAACCCAAAGTCCAGACACCTGCCACAGGCAGCACCACCGTCGCCAGTATGCCTGAAACAAACCAAAGAGATTACTGTGGCATCGTCCAGGGACAGAAGTAAATAGCACCAGTGATAGAGGAACAGGAGTTTACTGGATTGAGGTCTGTCTGGCATTTCAATCCTGATGGGTCCATACGATAGGATGCCCAGAGAGGGGTCTGCTCGCACCGCTTCTCTCTTACTGATTGAATTACAGTTCTGTGAAGAAATAAAACAAGACAAATACTATGATACAGATCCTTTAGGCATTTTATGTTAATTTTTATAGCCTTTTCTTTGAGGGCCTCTTAACTACGAGTACAAAGTAAGACGAGCGAGCTCACAGGTTTGCAGGACTTGTAGTCTTCTGGCACGCACAGCTCAACCGTGCAGTGCAGATAGAGGTCGTGAGGTTCCGTTGTGAAGCGAAACATGTCGAAGCTGTAGCGAATGGTGGAACTTTCTCCGTTACGGCCAGACTGTCCGGCGCTCACGTTAAGAAAGGAGACGGTTTTGTCCTTCACACACCTGCATAGAGAGACGGAAACGAGGAGTAGGAAATGGGTTTCACTGGAGTTCAGAGTCAAAGAGGACAGAAGGGAGATGAGCCGACGATCGAGAGCTCTTCTGACCCGTTCAGAAGCAGAGTGTAAACCAATCCCTCCGTCGTGTTCGGCTGGAGAGACTGTGTGGCCCAGCACTTATCAACCCGGAGCAGGAAGAAATCTGCAGGCTCTGTGACAGCCACCTCAACATACACCTGGACACACAAACACGGCGCAAATAGAGTCACCGAAACAGGATTAGTATGTGGATAGTTGATGAGCGTTTACCTACCTTGTCTCCGAGTTCAATGGTGGGGGCACTGCTGTAGGCCTCAGAATAGGACTGGTCTGGGTACAACATCATCTGTATGTTGGCATCAAGTTCATTGACATGCATCACCATCTCACTGTACGTGTGCAGAGAAGAGGCGAGAAAAGGGCCCGTTTGGTGACTTTGAAATAACTAAATGTTTTCAGATTGCAGTGCAGGAGAACCAGGAGGCCATCAGGGGGTTCTCTGGTTTGGGACAAATTTGCCTGAAATAGTTAACGCACAGGTTGAATCCTGTACGTATCCAGGGCTTTGCTAAGAAGAAATAAATGTAATTTAAGTCTTTTAATTAAACATCCTTCCTTACCTGGAAAAGTGGATGACTGGGAAAGGCAGGCTGACTGTTCTGATGGCTGGATAGACGCATATGTAGTCCAGCTTAATGACTGGATTTCTGATGATGTTTCCAATAATCCGAGGGTCTGACTGTAGACTCAGGGAATAGGAGATGTGATTTTTTTTCTGTAAGAAAGGGGAAACAACAAAAAAATGCACTATTTACAGGGATAACTGAATAACTCTGAACAACAGTGACAGATTCGAGCTTGGCATTGTACAGAGATAATGCTCCAGTTGTACCGTCAGTGGCTTGCCGCCGCACATTTGATATTGGTCTTTAGATATCTTGGACACGTAGTACGACACACCGTCGATGACCTCCCTCTGAGGACGGCAAGACTTGTTGGGCAAGTGCAGGGACTCCAGCGGCACATTGTGAAACTTGAAGTAATCTTCTTTCGCTCTGATTCCTATGAAGTCCTTGCTGCACAGAACTTTGATCTGTGCATCTGTAAAAGAAAAGTATAAAAGACAAGTTACTGCTTGAGATTCACAAGAGGACACGTGCCGTTTCAAAAACACAGTAAACAGCATACGAAATTTGAAATGAAAAAGACCATCAGATTCCTTCTGTCTTTGTGTGAGAATTTATTTGAGCTTACAATAAACACTTTCATCAACTTGCATTTAAGTTGAAGTAGGATGTGAAGCTATGGTGAAGGCATCCATTTTACTAATTTGATAAATGTGTTCATGTCATATGTACAAAGCAAATGTTCATCATCTGCAGGCAATTGAACTACATGCTTAAAAATCAGTTTAACCGTGTAGGATGTCGTACTTCTCACCTGTGAGCTGCTGTGTAATGTCTCCTGTGAATGCTGACGGGATCAAAGTTAGTTACTGGCTTATTTATCAGAGTTGGTGCCTCAAAATACAAAGTCTACATTACCAACTGGGGCAAAGAGTTGGAAAGATGTGGGATTATGCCAGTAGTTGCATTGTGGGAAATGTAGGATGCAATGTTTTAAGAATCCGGGATTAAAAAAAAAAAAAAAAAAAAAAAAGATTTTGACCCATCTTTTTGCTATAGGTGCAATACTTAATTGCAGAGTTGTTGCTTCCTTGGAAAAGTTAATAGAATATTCAATTTTCCACAATGTCTGTAACACAGAGCCGGAGTGAACTATGAGAACACATCCAAGTGAAAAGAATAAAAACGTGCCCACCTCTGTCACATTGTTCCGCATAATAGCCACCGGCACATTTGCATCTCCTTTGGTCTTCAGACAGAACACACCTCGAGCTGTTAGTGCAATGCTCCACACTGCAGATTCCTATACAGTATAAAGAAATAAGCCATTCATGTTTTGAGAAGCTAAAACACATTCGACATTTTTTATATACAGGTAGACACTCTTACCCTCAACACGGTGGCGCGTGAAGCCGAAGAGAAGCACGAGGGCCACGCCCAACTGATGGGAAGAATGAACATTTCCACGTTAACCGTTAAATTATTGATTTTTACCGAGCTAAGCTACATTAGCCTGCCATCAGTTTAGCATATCCATGCAAAAACAGCCCGCCCTAAACTACACAAACATTAGTTTTCTTACATGAAGGATGAATAGTGCTCATCATATTTGTATCTGCACCCACCTTTAAGCCGTTTGGGATCATTGTTGTACCGTTTTGCGTAACAATATAGTTAATTTATATAACTCCTGTTTTTAAATGTGACAATGTCAGTCACACGGGAGGCTCTCCTCCGTCGTCCTCGTTATCAACACCTGCTGCTCTTCAATCACGAACACCTGTTGGTTTCGGCTGTGGCGCTCGTGCTTCTTTTATACGTTTTCTTCATAATTGATTAACAATTTAATTGAATTAATGGGTAAATTAGAAATATCCAAGCTAATTCTAAAACAGAAAAATACATAGTAAAACTCACTGTCACTCACATCATGAGACATTAATATTGTTGATTATCCTAATCAGGCCTATTATGCCTTTTTGGTCTCATTCTTAGCGTTATATAATACACATTGTTCATTTAGGAGGCACTGGGTGAAGGATAAATATAAAGGAAAGCCATGGATGACCAAAAGTCTGCAAAGGGCATGCAAAAAGAAAGATTTACTTTACATGAAATATTTACAATTAAGAACCATTGAAAGTGAAGAAAATTGAATTGAATTAAAAACTTGTGATGATAAAATTGAAAGTGTTTTTGAGACAAAAGTCCTGGGGTTCTGATTGATCATGAAATATCATGGAGACAACATATTGACGGTAAAATGTAATAGTCAATAGCAATATTGTATAAATCCAGAGATGTATTCACTTATAAGGCCTTGCATAGAATTTATTGTTCTCTTATACTTCCTTACATATCTGATTGTGTGGAGGTGTTACTATGATCACACAAATCCATTGTTTGTAAAATGTCATGTTTAATGATTTGGTATATCATAAAATAATGCAAAAAATGTTCAGAGCTAAAACAAAGTCACTGCCAGACTTTGTACAAAGGGTTTTTTTTTCTCAATACATGAGTGTAAATATGATTTGAGAGAGTACATTTACTGTCAATCTATTTTCTTGAGGGTAGCTTAATTGATAAGAATGTAGGATATGCATATATAAGCATTATGCGTCTGCCTATATGCCTTTTCAGTCACATTTTATGCTAGATTGTATATCGGCTATATTGTATTGTGTGTGATGGCTGAATAAAAACACTACTACTGCTACCACTACCACTACTGTGTACCAGCAGGGGCCTTTCCAGCTTCTCACAAGTGAAGAGTTGCTGCTTTTTCTATTATAATGAATTAAATAGTTGGGTGTTTGGACGGTTGGTTGAATAGAACAAGTTCATTGACATTTTAACTGTCAGTGAAAAGAGCCTGCAACTGTGTAGAGTTTAATTGATCAATCTGGAAGGAAGGAAAAAAGCAAGATTTATTTTAGAAAGTTTCCCTAACTAATACCTAGCATGCAAATGTGATTTGGGGTGACTTTTAATTTGAATAAGTGATACCCTCCTAAATAGGCTACACCCCAAACCTCTGCACTGTGCTGTCAGTGGTGAGTTCACTTCATAACCTTTTGCCTTGTTTCATCAATAACTTTATATAGAAACTAAATGCCAAGTACCTCCACTAGATGTCACTATTGTCAGCACAAACCGGTTCAGTGCTTTGGAAAGTTCACACCATCACCACCTCTAGTATTTGAAATAGCGCTCCAATTAAACAGAATATAAAGCGTACAAAACTACAAATCAATACTGAACTGGATTGGGGAAATCTCTAAGATGTCTTCTTTTGGATTCCATATTTACTTCATGAAACCATATAAACACTAAAGTGGAGCAAGAGAAATATTTTGTGAGAGAAGGAATAGAAATCAGTTTTTTTTTTTTTGTGTGAGCAGGTCAAAACAGTGAGGGGCTCAACAGTGTCTTAAGCCTTAAGGGAAAGCCATAAATGGGTCACTGTATTTCCAACAGTGCAAACTCGACACACCCGCAGGCCACACTCCATATTCTCAGACATCATCCGGCAGGCCTCCCTCCTATTTGGTAGCAGACCATCTGTCTTCGAAGGGACAGATCAGAGCCAGAATAAGTTGTTGATGGAGGAGGCCCCGTGAGTGATGAGGCAGGTTTAAATCAGATCTGATGGCCTGGGATAATAACGTGTTGTATTTGTTTCTTGTCCATTAACGATGGCTCCCATCTCAAGTCCTCCTTCTCTGATGGATCATTCCAAGTAAAAAAGTAATAATATGGTCTACAAATATTCAGATGGGAAAGGTTGTTTGCACAAAGGATGGAGAAACACAACTGCTTATAGTTAATATGAACAACAACAAAAAAACTATTCTCTGTTCGGAAGCATCCCATTAACCACAACAACAGCATATGGTTCTGTTCATATACCCCAAGACTCCACTGTCTGACAGTGGCTTTAATTAGCATATGAAACATTTAAATGGATCCTCTGAAAGTTCACAGCACACATTTTTGGCCTTCGTCTTACCCTGTACATTTTATTGTACCGATCATACATTTTAATGCATGATTTGTAGCTGTAAATTATTATTTTATTGTGCTGTTACAAACTCAACTTCACAAATAATTTGGACCCCAACAGCAACAGAACAAATCTACAGAGGAAATATTGGTAATGTTATTTATTTACAGAGCAAAGGGGTGAGAAAGATTTCACAAGTTTGTGGTTTACAACTGTGAATGTAGCTTGGTTCTGTCTCAACACAGAGATTGTATCTTCACATTATGTAATCAGTATGCATAAGTGGTTCTGATATCTGAGTGAATGCGAACGAGTCCAACTCATAATGTGGGAGGGAAAAAAATCATGTTATGATTGGGTAGAAAGACTATAAAGTCAGCACAGCAGGTGTAATTAACAGAGCCTGCATAGCAAAACAAACAGAACAGTTTACAGTCCACTGAAATAATTTCCCCAGGTTTAAAAAAAAGCACCCTTAGTTGTGTGTGCACGTCACACCACTGAACACAGGTTCTTCCTTGTAGCCGCTGCATCTTATCCCTCAGCAGCATCGTGTAGTCATTCTTCGTCTCGTCGGCAGTGATGCGGTGCCACCCTGGTGTTGTGAAATAGCCGGGTTGTAGGAGGTGTCTGTCATCGGCCTGATTCACAACACCAGCTGCGGCACACACACCTGAGAGGCAGGTCTTCTGCTGCTGGCTGTATAGAAACACACACACACACACACACACACACACACACACACACACACACACA